TTTTCGAAGAAAAAAATTGAAATTAATTTTTATTTCGAAAACGGTAACAGATAGGTATAGGGAAATATCAAGAAAAGTTGTCGGGCAATTGTTGGAGATTCCAAAAATAATATTATATACAGAGTGTTCCATTTGAAAAATCAAAGTTGCTACTGCTTTCTAATAGAAGCGGCAACACCGCATTATCGAAAATATTTTAGTTGGCTAGAGAATGTCCGAATATGCCTTCCATTAAATTTTCAAAGTGATCCGTTGTCTGGTTCACCAGAAACGTCTAATGTGCCATCCACCGTGAATCAGCCTGTATATCGGAAAATATGCAGGATGTGTTATTCCTCTAGGTAATATGATGTCAGGAAATATATCTCACAGTCTGAACTTTATAGAATATGAACCGAAGCAATCGAGTTAACCTCATCGCTAACCTCCTGGAAAATATCAAGAAACTAATCTTGACGAGTTGAATCATAGTTCAATACTTATAGCTGTTTCCCTACAAAAAACAAGAGAGATTTCTGTAATCCCTGAAAAGTTGTTATCATCTAATCATTCACTACCAATAGCTGTTAACTAGATGTTCGTTTTCATAATGTCAATGTTTCCACTCTACATTTCTGAAACATTACGAAACATATTAGTTTTCATTTTCGGAAAATATTGTTCTTGCTTTTACTTCGATGATCCTAGATTAAAATGTGTCATAAAGTTTTCACTATCGGTATAAGAATCTAGAGGGTGTAAAGTTCGTCATTTGAATAAAGTAAACAACAGAAAGACAAACCACCAAAATATCAAATATCAAAATATCAATCATTTATCATGTTATTCACATGATCATGTCGTTATGTCCTTAAAAGTTATTTGCTGAATCGCGTATGTATTATGCATTTTTATGAAGCATGTTTTAAGTTTCCACTCAATACTCAAAAGTATTTTGACTTATAGGTATTATTTTTGTAAAACAAAAACATATCTCATGAACTTTGAATGCTTTACGAAATGAAAACATTTGGCATACGAACGACATAAACTCAACTTGTGATGCACTGTTGGCAACCGTTGGTGTAGTAATGAATATTACTGGAGTGTTTTGCCAACACCAAACCGTTATTTCAATACCTCGACACGTGTTTCGATCATCAAGTGATCATCTTCAAGAAAAAGATCAAACTAATTTCCCTCTTGAAAATCAAACTGGCCTTCCTGTTAAAGATCTTCCTCTTGAAGATGAGTACTTGGTGACCGAAACACGTATCGAGGTGTTGAAATAACTGTTTGGTGTTCTCGAATATTATCAATAACAATGCAAAAACTCCAACAGGTTTTCACATGTTGAGCCTTTCATCATCAGAATGGATGCCCAATGTTATCATTTTTGAATATTGTTCACTCAAAATAGAACAGAGAGCACACATGACTTCAGTACCTCTAAAAAAAATTATCAACGGAAACGATATTAGCAGCCCTTGCTGCGAGTAGTATTTTCCAAATATTCTGCCACAATTTTTTCAATTTTTTCAAAATGCAATATTTTTTGGAAAACCATCATTAGTGAATATTCTCTAAGTAAGTGATAATTCAATTGCGGATGTGAACTTCCCTCCATCCCGTTACTTCTGAGAGAAAAAAGATTTCAAGATCGAAAAAATATATGGAAACTTTTTACAATAATGAGTGGTCCTGTGACTTCTTCATTTGATAGGCCTTTCAATTCCCTTTTCCACACTGTTTATTAATGGAAAATTTGATCAGCCGTTCCTCAATTCTCAGTTATTTTTTTATTCTTTGCAAGCATCTGTGAACGATAAATATCATGATTGAAATAAGAAATATTTCCAGAACTATGTAAATATATGTTAGGAATCACACGTTAAAAGGTAAGACCTCGTTAGTCCTTAGCTCGCACAAGTTTCTCAACTTCTGAGAGTTGCCGTTCGTATGGGGGCGGCAGCTGATTAACGAAAAAACAGATTTTAAACAGATTTTAAACAGATTCAAAGTGTTTATCGTTGACTTCCTGTTTACAAATTCTTTTGTTACATTATGGAATATTTCGGAGCTAATTTCATTATAAACATGTCTCATCCAATCTATGAGTTCTGGAATGAACTTCCATATTTTACAAATCCCTAAAAAAATCTCAAGGCATCTAAGAGACCACTTCTCCTCCTCAAAAGTTTTGGATTGACTAGCCTAATTTTCAAAAATAGTAAAGTTTTGAATATGGACTTGAAATTCTTGTCAAACAAGTTTCCACAGTAGAGGGTCTTTAAAAAAAGTTGAAAGCGCCCTTTCAATGAAGAGTTTTGCGGAACTTTTTCTTTCATTCAAAAATTACTAGAATGGTACAGTTTCAACATGAAATCTGTATCTATCTTCCATATATCGTGCCATTCAAAAGTTTCGTCTGACACTGTATTATAATAACTGAATTTTTGTTTAATATTTCTGAAATGTTTCTATGAATTATTGGTTTTTTTCTGATTAATTCGGCCGTTACTTTGATTTCCACAAACTTTATTTGAAAAATTTATCACATGTTTCGCTAGCACAGTAGCTTTATTAAGTGATTTGAATACATAATGGATGCCCAATGTTATCATTTTTGAATATTGTTCACTCAAAATAAAACAGAAAACACACATGACTTCAGTGCCTCTGAAAAAAATTAAAACACCTTGTTCAGGAAAAAAATTATCAACGGAAACGATATTAGCAGCCCTTGCTGCGAGTAGTATTTTCCAGATATTCTACCACTTTTTTCAATTTTGTCAAAATTCAATATTTTTTTGAAAAGCATAATGGGCGAAGATTTTCCTAGTGATAATTCAATTATGGATGTAAACTACTATGCTAGCGCTAAAGCTACTGTGCTAGTGAAACATGTGATATATTTTTCAAATAAAGTTCGTGGAGATCAAATCTTGAGGTGTAGTTTTTTAAATATGAATTAATGAATGGTAATATCAATGTCAATGTCAAAAAGCACTAACGACAATGATGTTCAGATCATGCATAGGAGTTATGATTGCTAGCAGAAATAAAATTATGAAAACTTGAATTTGAAGGACAGGTGTAATCTTTGTATTAAATTATGTTCAGTGATATAATAAGTATCTTTGCTATTCACGGCTCTTTTTGATACGTATGAAATACAATAGTTTACTATTATATAGCGTGTTTTCCATTGAGTTTATGGGGAGAACTAGAAGTTTGCCCTCTCTACGTATAAAGTTCTTCATCACAAATTTTTTCATCAGTTTGTGGTAGGTGACAATATTCAGGAAGATCTACAGAAGAAAACAAAAAACTATTTTCTTCACATACATAACTTTGGCTCAATAAGTAGATATTTCTGAACACTTTTCATTTTATATACTGTTATACCACATTTCCACCTACTTCTCAGTGTGCCCTTCATTGAACTTCAGCAAATTCTCTGTTGATGTAGCTCTGTTAATTTTCCGAATTGTGAAAGGCTAAAAACACATAAAAACAGCTGGAAATATCAACTATCCCTCAAAATGTACATTTCGAAGAATATATGAAAATAATTGGAAACTGTCTCTCAGTGATTTGAGAATTTACACAAAAGCATTCTATGCCCAAACTGTTCTTTCAAGGACATGAAGATATTTCTAATCGAATTAAACATATACAAATATTTGAAATGAAATGAAACTGTGTGATCAATGTACTCATAGTTCGCTTATAACCAATCCGGTTGTACCTGAAGATATGCAGTTTTTCCGATTGCTGATGGAACATCAATGGACTGATGAATCATATATACTGTATAACATTCCATTTCAACATTTACACTCCGGAAGATATACATAGTAATTTGATAATTGCTGTGAAAATGTGATTTGTGCAATGCAGATGGGGGTTGAGAAATTTGAAATAATCTTCTTCGGGTCTTTTTTTGACTCATCAAAAAACGACAATTTTCTATCTGTTAGATATCATTCCTCAATATTTGAATTATCATTAATGAGAAGAACGCAAAATAAAAATGAACACCTTTTTTTTTGGATCTACATTCCCTATTTCTGAAACGAGGCAAAACTGGAGCTTTTTTGAAAGTCTGGTTCGTTCAACATAGGGATTATCCAATTCTAATTCATCGAATATCCTATTTTGAGAGCTGGGATTTCAGTAATATTTGGCATTAACTCGACACGGACAAATGCACACCTTGTTGCTTCCCAGTCCGCAGTGTATTCGAAATATGCGTGAGTGAAATCAGATTGTCGGAGTGGATCAAAATACGAGAGTATTGTAAAATAAATTCTACAAATGGACATGGGGGGGTTGAGAAAGCAATGATAAACTTTTGACACATATCTCGCCATTATATATACCCGCCAAATTTGTGGTAAAGGCAACAGTCGTTCAAATCCATTACACAGTTGATGATGATTCTTCAAGTAAGTGATTGTGTTGAGTTTATTAATTATCTAGTGTTGAAAAATAATCAGTGGTTTGATAAGACATACCAACGTTGAAAATAACGAAAATATTTTTTTGCCATAGATAACAGTGAAATAATTATAGTGTGTATATTTTCTTGAAATTGAAAACAGTATACTTTCCGAATTAGTTCCATTCTTCAGAAACATAACTTGATTCATGAATATCAAGTAGAGAAAATATGATATTCATTGTTTGAACATTTATTATCAAAACATGCACATTATATGCTGCAAAATTCATTGCATTTCTATTATCTTGCTGCTGACAAAATTATCAGTTTCATCCAGGGTTTCAGTGAATTTTCATGATGAAATATTTTCGTCAGAGGCAATCGAGAAGATGGAGTAGAAGTATATTATTTTTTGCTAATTGACAAAAAATGATAATGAGTCATTCATAATGAAGACTTATTTCGTAATGATGTTAGGATTTTTCCTACACCGTCAATATAACTATGTTTCGTTCCTCATGGAATTAAATTTGAATACAATTTGACAAGAAAATGAATTATAAGGATCAAATAATTGCATAATTCCAATTTGAACACTTCAAGATTCATATTCTTCACATTTTTTCTGATATGGGCTTACTAGCACAACGATTGAAATTGAGATACGTTTCTCATTTGAAAATTGGTTTGAAGATTTCGAATACATTTCTATGATGTAGCTGCTAACAAAAATATCAGGTTCATACAGGGTTTCACTAAATTTTCGTGAATTTTGGTCAGTGGCAACCGAGAAGGTGACCACTCATTTCGTAATGATGTTGAGATGGTTTCAATATCCTGAACATAAGTGTGTGTCCTGATTTTTCGTTTTTTGTGAAAATACATTTGAATACAATATAGCAAAAATGTGAAATATAAGGATTAAATAATTTCACAATCCCAATTTGAACACTCCCACATTCATATACTTCATATATTTTCTGAGATGGACTAGCTGAACGATTGAACTTGAGATACATTTCCCGTTTGAAAATTGGTTTGGATATTCCAAATACATTTTTCAGGTAAATTATATGCTACGAAAGTTTTCACTATCAATTGTCAGATATTATTAATATTTGAGTTTTATCACTTTTCCAATATAAGAATTGAAAAATTTCAAACGTTTTTCATATTCTCTCAATTTTTCTCATTTATTCTATAGGAGAATGAAATAAACAGCATATAAATCGATGATTTCAGGAAATGGTAATTGAAAACAATTGAATTCAAAAAATCATGATAAAAAATATTATTTACTTTTCAAGCCATATATTTCTTCGAGTCCCGTTCTCCATATCACTAATTCATCAAGATCTGAAATAATTTAAAGACTTGGAATATAATAGTGGAATTTATTTCAAATCATACTTCGATAATCCGATATGCTTCTCAATTCTCTGCAAAAAAATCCACGAATCAAAATGTTTCAGTAGTCAATATTTCAGTGTGATCCGTACCCGATCACATTCTATTAATTTATCCTCATGTTTTTTTTTCTACAACTGATGATTCTTTCCCAAATTGTTTCAAATAAGTACGTGTATTTCCTGATTATCAGAAATAGCTCAAAATGGATCATGTCTCATACAAAAAAAACTCTAAACAATATGACACCTTTTACCTGGCGATGTTATGTCGTCAAGGTAGCGTATTGAATATAACAGGATATTTTATCTGTAGAAGTCGAGCAAAAACGATCGAACACACTCATGAGAAAACGTGAAAGTGGAAGCACAGCTTCGAGTTTGACTTCATTTACCAGTACTTTTTGGATAATTAAAAATGAACCATGAATAATTTGTATCCATTTGACATTCAGTTGAACGAAAATCATTCACATAACTCATTTCGTTATTTTCAGACTACTGCTCTAGTTTTGGTAGGGCTTGTGTTGGTATCTGCCAATCCTGGAAGTGACACAAAGTCGGAAGCAAAAGGGGAAAAAGTTTCGGTGACTGAGAAAAAACATGAGAAACGAGGACTCATCGACTTAGGATATGGTGGCGGTTACGGAGGGGAATATGGTGGCAGTTTGGATCTAGAAAGTCATGGAGGTTATGACCTAGGAGGTCATGGTGGAGGTCTTGATCTAGGTTTCGGGGGATATGGTGGTGGGTATGGAGGTGGTTACGACGAAGGTCACGTAAAAGCCATCACCATCACCAAGGAAGTTAAAGTACCTTACCCAGCACCTTATCCCGTTCCAGTTGAGAAAAAAGTAGCAGTACCGTATCCAGTCAAAGTAGCCGTGCCAGTTGACAGGCCTTACCCAGTTCACGTACCCAAGCCTTACCCTGTTCCAGTCGTGAAGCCGGTGCCATACCCAGTAGTGAAAAAAGTTCCCTATCCGGTGAAAGTACCAGTGAAAGTACCTTATCCAGTTCCTCACCCAGTGGCAGTACCCAAACCAGTTCCATATCCAGTTCACAAGCCAGTGCCATACCCAGTGAAAGTGCCCGTAATCGTCGAGAAGAAAGTACCTATTCTTGTTCATGACCATGAGGGTTACGGAGGAGGTTATGGTGGAGGGTTTGGAGGAGGTTTTGGTTTCGGAGGTCATCATCACTACTAAAATTCACCACTGCTAATATTCCATTGTTGTAAATTCTATCAGTATTTGTTAAACTGTTTTCTACCAATTTATTTATTCCTGTTTTCTACCTGAATAAAGATATTCTATTTGTATTCGCCTGTTTCCTAATTCACTTTTTTGTAACTCAAATCAAGACAGGGTTTATTGTTCAATTTCAAAACAACTTGATGAGACGATAATCGTTTACAAGCACTTGTAGAAAAATCTTCATTTTTACATATTCAATTACATACACTGAGAACATATCATTCTTTGAATAATAGAGAAGTATATATTAGTTTTTTCAAAATCTTTGTAAAATGAAAACAATAATTGATTTTCATTAGTATATTTCAATTTCAATGTCAGTAACGAAGAATTGAAGGTAAGGAATGAAATAATCATCTTTTCTTCTTACTTAAGTAATTTGAAGCCAGTTAATTGTGTAATATGATTGATAATTTTCAAAATATTGTAACAATGTTTATATTAATATCTGTCTGATTGTGAGATTTTGATGATTAGATGAACAAGTTACTTCAATATTTGAATTGGAAATATTCTAAAACCAATAATCCACGGTGTTATCTAGATTCCGTATTCTTTTTTCATCTACCGAAAACCTACAACTTTGTTGTGTTCAACAAGAAAATATATTGAAACAAACAAACAAACAAGTATATTGGGTTGCCAATATCACAAGCACCTATTCTACTGAAATACAGATTATCGCGTTTGTTCCCAAACTGTCTGATTTTTGCTGGTTTTCTAATAATGCTCTTTTGTGAATTTTTTCGACGTTTTCTATAGATTGAATGTATTCTTGTGACGAATGAGTTTTCCGATAAAAATCCTGATCAAATTATTTGAATTCTGGTACCGGTTGAATTTGTATTAACTACTTTGTTCCACTGGGAAGACTCAGAGATACGATTTTTTTACACCCTTCAATGCAATTGCAAGGTTCGCCCCCATACTCACGATAATCCCCAAAACGTGAAACTCATGCAAGATGATGTTAACGAGGTCGCAAATTGCAACGTGCGAGTCATAGCACGAAGAAACTTCAATAAGGAGTGCATTAGTCTGCCATGTGTTCGAAATATTTTCATACGTGCAACATAACGTAAAATATTATACTTTCTTTCAATCCTCAGTCATTCTTTGAGTTACTAGACCATGACCAATTATATAATATGAATATTTACTGAGAAACACGTAAGTAACATCTGGTAAACGTATAAACCGATGTCCCAATCCATTCGACATACGTGTAATATCACGTAGTTTATGCAATTCTTTGGCGTTCCTGGTTTCAATAATGAAATTGAGAGTTTGAAATATATAATAATACCAGTGAATTTGTAATTATTTCGATAGTAAAATTGCGTGAGATTCCTGAGAGACGGTTTTGAAAGAATTTAATTGGGTCTTGTTATTGAAAGACTGTGGGACACAGACATGTGTGAATTATGTAATATTAGTAGATTTTGTCTGTAGTGTGTGTACCAAAATCTGTTGTATAGGCAATTGACTTCATAGATTATTATTTTATTTTGGGTACTTGACCAACCCTTTATTTTTTGTTAACAAAAATTTGAAAATGATTTACAAAGTAATTGAACGGTTTTATTAAGCGTGACCTGTTTGTTTGTTTCGGTCAAATTCAATAATTGAAGTTTGAACCTCTTCTTGTTGACATATTGATCTGATATCTGGTACACACATTTAGGTCTGTTGACCATAGAATTTTATGAATTCTGTATCATTGTAAATTCAAGATTACCGCAGCTACAAAATGGAGATTACATATTTTTCCCCAATTACCTAAATATGAACTCATGATGCACTATTTAGAACTTTTGGTGTAGCAATGAATATTACTGAAGTTTTATCCTAACACAAAACCGTCATTTTCATCACTCGACACGTGGTGTCGAGACGATGACCAATTGATCATCTTCAAGAGAAAGATTGAACGAATCTACCCCTTGAAGATCCTCCTCTTGAAGATGATCACTTGGTGATTGAAACACGTGTCGGGGTTTTGAAAATAACGGTTTGGTGTTGGGATATAACTCCAATAATATTCATAAAATGTATTCATCAAATAACGTTACCTTGTCATCACTGTTTTTCTATACTGCTATATTAGTTTAAAATATAGATATTGGATTTCACAGTCATTAATATAAAATTTTCACGAGACTAATATTTGAATTCCAAATTACAAAATGTATAAAGTTTATAAAATTCTTTTCCATCGGTTCAATAATATTATACACACTTTTTTAACTAACATTGAGGAAATCTAAATTCGGAAATGTCATAATAGGAAGAGCATTGTAAGTGAGTTTTCAGTTTTGCTTCAAAAATGACTATTGAAGCTTCTTTGATAAAGTCTGGTAGAGAGTTGAATAATCTGATACCAATACATTTTTTATTCGTAGAGGTTAATCTGTTATTTGGAAAAGCGATATGGGATCTCATTCTAGTCAGATAACTGTGTGTATCTCCATCAAGTATGTACAAATGCATGTGCATTTTTATGTAGATTAGTTCGTTGTAAATAATTGCTGACTGAAGTGTCAGTATTTTAAACTTAATGAACCATGGTTTACAGCTTTCAGTCTGAGTTATACCGGCCAGAGCTTTAATGGCCATTTTCTGGATAATAAATATCGACTGAGTGTAACAAGAATGGCCCCAGTTAATTATACCGTAAGTCACAGAACAGTGAAACGTTCCATGGTAAGCAGAGATGGCTGCCTCCAAGTTCACTAGCGATTCAATCCGTCTAATTGCAAATATTGCTTTTGATAACTTGCTTGCTAATTGATCTACATGAGGTTTTCAATTTAAATTGGGATCAATAATATGTCCTAGAAATTTTACGCTCTGAGTGGCAGTATGCTTGGTATTGAAAATAAGTATCTGAGTGCGCGTGTTCAAACTTAATTCGTTTGCCTTGAACCACTCAGTAGCTTGATTGATGATCGATCTTATCATTTCCTCAATTCTTGTAAAATTTTTTTCGATTCTGGTTGCGAAGGTAGCATCATCGGCACACAAGGTTGTTAATGCTTTTGGGAAGGTATTGATTAACAGTTCAAGCAGTCGACCAGTAGGATTTAGACCCGATGGGGTTGGCAAGCAGTTTATCCTTTATAACTTTTTTTGGGTATTCTCCAAACCTACGGTTTCTCAGTATTTTTTTAGAGCAAATGGGTCGTGAGTTTACAACTTTTTTTTAACAAAGTATAAATCATTTATTAATCAGAAGAATCATGAAATACAAATCAATTAACAGAATTTAGCTTATTAAAATAGAGAAGGAGAAAAAACACCTCAAAAGTGCTGATTTGTTCCCTACTGTTCATAAAAGAGGACATAATATGCTTCCCACTCACAAGCGATTTTAGTGAAATTGGGGAAACGTGTGAATCGTTGTATTCATTCCACGTGCCACTATAAGGGTGTCTGCAATATTATGTTGTAATGCCCGTTGTAAGTAGTCCCATTGTGATTCGACAAGCCACATTGTCTGCTGCATAATCGCTCATATCTAATCCTTCCACAGTAAAACTCAATGGCAACATTCGATTTGCCTCTGAATCTTTCCGTTAGAGAGAATCTTTTTAAATGAATTACTAAAATACTGGGAAACTTATGGATCGATAGGGACTTTGTGTATTTTCTTCTTTCCTTGCACCTCAAACAAGTTGGTTTTTCATCTCCATCCAGGGTTTCTTTTTTTGTGAAGAAATCCAAGCATTGTGACAAACTCAATTGACCAGTTCTTTGTGGTATAGGGAGAGACAAATCCTAGAAAGGATCGAAGGTTACTGATGAGAATCCACAGTGTGTGCACTTCATAGTAGATTTTAATTGACCAACGAAATTGTCTAAAATCTTAGAGTTGTTCGTGTTCATGTATCTCAGTCAGGACTCTTGCGTTTTTCCGCTGTCGCTCAATTTTTCGTCAATCTCCGTTAAGATTGGTTTAGGTTTCTCAGTGATTCCATTGAGGTCCTCATGTAAACCTTCCAAAATATATCGAAGGAATTCCTGGGAGTCTTGATGGAAAGATCCCACAAATCGAGGGGCAAATCTTCGAATCTGACTTTTAAAGTAGGCAGTTTTTATCACTCTATCAGATGAAACTTCCGACCACAATTCCTTGATAAGTTCTGCGAACGCTTTGATCAAAGCACCTTTCATACTAGAAGTACTAGTATTGATATTTTCCATGTATGTATCCGTTTTTAAATATTCCAACAACCATCTCGTGTTTGATAAACATTGGATTATACTGTTCATGAAACAGGTGTTTTCAATATTTTTCAACCCATTAAACCCAAGAGTTTTGACTAAAGAATGTATCCCTGATCCGATATTGTTTATACTACGTTGTTCATGTTTCTCTGTATCTTCTGATGGAAAGTTATGGGATGTATCACAAGGAATATGGGAGGTTTTATGAGGAAACAATCTTCCATCGTGAATATGGTACAAATAGGATTTGGAAACAGAGGGATGAAGAAAAATTTCATCCAGTGTATGTGACGATGGGATGGTGCCAAAAACAGAAGTTGAATACCACGCTGTATAGCTGAACTAATTTTTTGGATCACAGAGGTGGTATATCTTTTTACTTCAGTTTCTTCAGTCATCTTTTTGCCAATTTCATTGAAAAAATTCAGAGGTAAGGACCCAAATACACCGAAAGTTTCTACAGCCACAGGATAAAATATAAAGTTGTTTCCAAGATTTCGATATTTCTGCTGTTTTGCTTTCTCACTGGTTATGGCAGCAGCACCTGCACTTTTGGACGTTCCAACTGAATGAGATGGAGCCAATGTGTCTGCACATGTGAAATTCCAAACGGCAGCTTTGCCACATTTCCAGGAAACAAGGGTCATTCCATCAGAAAGTTTGCCATCATCACGGCTAGTACCTAGTGGTTCTAGGATAGAAGGCTGATATCAAGGCCCTTTTTATGATGTCGTTGACTTGGTGATGTCTTGAAAAACATCCAGAACTCTTTCTATAGCTCAAACCTTGAGTACCTTTTTCATTAATCTCACTACTACAAATACATTTATGAGGTGTA